GGACACCGGACACCTGAACGATCTGAAACTTTCCAGAAGAGATGGCTTCTGCAGATGGCTGGAGGCAGTGTCTCTTTTCCAACGCAAGGTGCTTCTACAAAATGGAAGGACATTCCAGTTGATGTGATTTGTCCTGTCTTTCCAAAATGGGTTAGCCTTTGAAATATAAAATGGCCAATGTAACACTTGTTTTATATTGGCCATTCCAGATTGTGATGACAAATTCTCTGGCTATGTTTTTGCTTGGCACACTGTCCCAGATAGAAATGTAAGTAGGTTAGAATGCTAAGGCAACAATGTGCCACAATTTTCCTAAAATGCACCATATGACAACGCCTTTAATGTCATTGAGGGACATCTAATTGATATCCGTTGGGGGAAAGGAGGTGTTGTGGTGCAGTAGGTAATGTCTCTGCCACTGAGTCAGAAGCACCAGGTTCAATCCCACTCTAGGATATGTTGCCATGGCAGGTACATTCATAGGATGCCAAACAGGTTGAGTATCAACCAGCAAATTCTTCTTGTCAGGGTGGGGTGGGGGGGACACATTTGGCTCAACTGGCCAATTGACTGGTGTGGTGCAGATTAGGGTCAGCATAGGGTTCAATTCCCATTCAGGATCAGGTGGGTTCAGAACCTGCTCCACCTTGGCTTACCCTTTGGTGGTGATCACTGCAATGTGAATCTGACCTGCCTTCAGAGAACTCAAAAAGATCCAGGTGTGGGGAAGGTAGTACAAACAAATCACTAGATCAAAAACAATAGCATGTGCTGTTATAAATATTGTGTAAGTCATCCAATCATATAATCACTGGCACCTTTAGACCATGATTTGGGTGGGAGGGGGTGGAAATACGGATGCAGAGTTGTTTACTGCAAACAGCTTCCAGCATTGTTGTCTTACGTTGTTCGGGTTAGGTAAAAAATTGGGGAGGAGACTTAAGTGCGGCATGAACCCTGGCATGGTTACTTTGGACCAAATGTGTCATGTTGTAAGCACTTTGATGTAAAGTATTTTCATGGGAAACCAGAGGTTCCAACCTTTTGCTGTGTTCAATCCATTAGCTAATTGCCAGAGGATATGGGGCTGGCAACTGTGATTCTCAGCAGCCAGTTGTATACAGTAGTCTACTGTGCTCTGCTCTGCACTATCCTAGCATCAGTAAGCTCTCTGTACTGTTGAGACAGCACACCCACAAACTACAATTTATGTCAATAATTATTTTTTAACATACAAAAAAGTTGGTATAGTACTCAACTAAGTAACTACCAATTTGCATAAACAGGCAATCTCCTTCTGTGATAATAATGTTAAACTTTCACTTGCACTTTGACTGTATACTCCTTGTCCCACTCTTGTATCCCTCACACTCCTACCATTCGAGTGTCTGCATTAACTGCTTAAATTCAGGAACAAACATTCTTTACCTCTTCTGGTCTAATCTCCCATACCAAGTTCTGGCCGCTTCCTCACATATATAATGAAAACTATCTCAGGCAAATGACAGGCACTAAGAAATAATATTATTCTCTTCCTAACTAGTAACAGTCACCAGCCACTCCCATTCAAGATACAGCAACTTTACAGAAGGGTTAAAGTCTATCAGCAGCTCAGAAAACAGTCACTGAACATTTTCCATTCACCAAAGAATTCTAACAACATTGTGAACTCAGCCTTCCGATAATTCATGTGGCCTTATTGTTCCAGTCATTGCAGGGGTTATCAGTTCAGAGTTCATATTTGCAATGAAATGGATTTAAAATGCCCAAAAGGAACTTAATAAGAATAACTCCACACATTTCATTCAATAAATTGGATTAAATCCTGGTTTTGCAGATCAGAGCTTAGTCTGAAATAGCGTACTCCAGTGCCAAAACTAATTAGTCAAAAGGAAATTTTACACGTTTTGCAATACAAGAGATGGCAATTGCCAGTGCTGCAGGGTAAATATTAGCAACGGCCACCATTGCAATCTTTCCAGGTGCATAAAAAATAGCAGGAGAAGAAGGAGGCTAGATATACAGAAACAACAACCAGAAAAGCCTTTTGATGAATACAGAATTCATCCCTGCTGATATTCTAAATCTTAACTTGAACTGCTTTCTCCACTTTGCCTTTTGAACATAAGCTGATCAATTTCAAAGTTCTGTAACCACTGCTGCGTTGTAAATTACTTTAAAAACAAAATCAACAGGCAAAATTCAAAATTCCAGTTAACATGACAATGATTCATGTACATTAAAATCAAGTGTCAGCAGTATTCTGTAAAATGTAATTGATTCCGTCTCCTGCACATGCGCCTTTTGGAACACTTGGATATATTTTAGTTTTGTAAGTTTTACTAATACAGTCCACATCCTCTAGAGGATTTTTACAATCTACAATGCCTTTACTAATACAGCCGACATTCTCTGGAGGATTTTTACAATCTACAATGCCATTCAATGCTTGTGGTGAAGGCTACACTTTGTGGTGGGACAAGATTTTTTTTGACAAACAAGTAGTTTATCAGTCAGTATATTGCGACTCCAAGGCAGCTGCATTACTTGATACAAGCTCCAGATAACGAAGCATGACAAGAAAGTGATCTAAGAGCAGAGAAAATGATGCATAATGACAAATACTATTTGAGAAAGATTTCATGAAACAACAGCAATAAAAAGGATGTCTATATTTGATTAGTAGTAAGAAGCTAATCAAGATACGAATTACATCACAAGGGTGAAGGCTTGCCATTTAGAGTGAAGAAATGCTAAGTATGGCCTCCCAGACACAGAAATGCAAAATCACCAAACATTTCTGTAAAACAGTGAAAGTAACTAATCAAAAGGAACAATACTAAATAAGTTGTGCAGACTCAAGCTAAACAAATCTAGGATTAGACTGTTTGTATCCAAGGATCTTGAGGGAAAAGAGGGAAGTAAACAAGACTTCATGTATATCATGCCACTAGTTTGTGGAAAATAAAAAGTACCTCAGAACTAGAGGGTGTCAAGTGGCAAATGTAATATAAAAGGAGGTTAATGATTAGGAAATTATAAAACAATTTGTCTTGCTTTGGTTGTCTCAGATAAAATGCAATGGATGTGTATATATCATTTTCGAGAAGTGTTGGAAAAAAATCCCCCTGTGAAATCTGAAACAAACACAGAAGGATTTGGAATGATAGGAATGTGCCTTGTTGATAGAGAAGTATAGAGGACAGAAGGTTAAAGATTATGAAGTCAAAATGGCACACAAGAAGATTATTCGGCCCATCAATGAGTAAGGGTGAAATTAGAACTGCTCAAAATGGCTGTATGAAAGTGATAAGCAATTGGTGAGATGCTTGGAGAAAATACTGGAATTTGCTCATGACACCAACCTAATTAAGGTGGAAAACCATAATAATTTTCAAAGGCTGTAGGCCATGGATAGGATATCAGGCTGTTGCATAGTGTACAGAAGTGTCCAATAATCCATTTTGGAAATTAGAGTAGGGAAACATGTAATAAGATTTTACATGGAGCAGAGGAACTTTAAAGTGTAGCTGTATAAGCCATTACCAGACAGGTTAACTATGGACAGCTTTTTTTGTATGCATTAATTAGACATGGGCATTGCTAGGCCAATGTTTATTGCCCAACCTTAGTTGCCCTTAGTGGTGATGGACTGTCTTCTAGAACTGCTGCAATCCTTCAGATATAGATACACACAACACAGTAATGTTAAAAAGGGAGTTCCAGAATTTTGACTAAATGGTTTGGCACGGACTTTGCAGGTGGTGGCGTTCCCAAGATCTGCTGCTTTTGTCCTTCTAGGTAGCAGAGGTTGTGGATTTGAAAGCGCTGTTGGAGAAGCCTTGACAAGTTGCTGCAATGCAACCTGTAGGTGACTAATTAAATTGTTGAGTTTGTATTCAGAGTATCAAATGCAAAAGCACAGAATTAATGTTGAACTTGTACAAGACACAAAATTGTAAAAATGTCAATAATTAATCAAGCAAGCAACATTGTGCATACCTTTAAGCACCCACTCTTTAGCATAGATATAAGGATGAAAAGCAGCACAAATTTGTCACCATATTTCCTGGGGTAATGGATTACAGTTATAAAAAAAACTTTTAAAGAAGTTTTGACATATTTCACACAACCTTGAGGTGAAGGGTGGCCAACTAAAGTTCAACATTATGATAAAGCAAGCAGTGACAGGTTGTTCTTTCCTTCTATTAGTAGAAATACTCATGAATGTAAGTTAACCAAAATGTATCTACACAACCATGTTTAAGACGTAGGAGATATTTTTCCTCAAGTAATTAACAGTTGCTTGAAACAACAGAAGACAGTCAGGAGAAGAATGAGCGGAAGACTCAAATGAAATTATCTAGATTCACACAGATAAATACATTGGCAGGAACAGTTTTGTCTTTGCGCTGTAGCATTGAACAATTCTATTTTTGACCTCTGAGATAAGTTAAAGCCAATCCAAATGCTGATCTCATATAAACAGCCACACACACTCCAGCATGAGTCCCTAATTTTTGATGAGAAGCAGAAATGCCTGACTGCCTCTCCCCTCCCTACCCTTCACAAGGTGTGTGGAGGCAAATTGGTACACCAATGCTGCTTCCTAGTTACCAGCTAACTCTTAAACACGAGAGATTCAATCTAGAACACTTTTGATCTGCATCCCTTTAAACCCTATGATTAGGAAATATTTCAAATCTACAATCAGCCACATGATCTAAACAGTTGGACAATTAGAATTGAATGTGTCTCTGTCCTACTCATTCACAAAAACAAGATTACCACTCAGCCTCTCACTACTTTCACTCCTTTCTTTTTTCATTCCTCCTCTATTTTATTTAAGGTGTCGTGCACCGCCCTGTTCGTTATTGATTATTTTCTGACCGGATTTCACTTCCTCTCACACCCAGCGCTGTCTCGCCCTAGGTGTTCTCGATCCCGTACAGTAACTTCGAGCTGCCTTTTGCAGCTACGTTTCGGATCCATATTCTTACCTATTCCACTCCCTGGTAGCTCATTCTTGAGGCGGCCGCTGGCTGTTTCCCCCGCTTCATTCCCCGCACGTTTACTCACCATGTCCCCCTTCTTATCTTCTCTGAAACAAACTATCTCTCTCTCCATGTACAAGTAACTAGCCTCACCCTAGCATTGCACTCGTTAGAAGAGGGCGACACCCAATTTTCAAATATGGTCATATTTCCATGGAAACCAGGTGGGTGGGTGTGTTCCCCAGACTGAGAGACGGGTTTCTGGCTCTAGCCCAAAAATTAGTGATGTGAAAGCGAAGGATAGATCCAACGGGGAACAGTCATCGAAATAAATAGTTAGTATTAAGTTTAGTCAAAAGTACAGTAATTGAACCAAAGTCACAGAGATTAACGAAGGTGTGTACTTGTTTGTAGTCAATCCAAGGTGCTGCTGTCTAGTTAAAGCAAAACATTCTCCAGACGGTATTCAAAGTTAGGACTGGATGTTATGGTTTTTTGCTGGGGTAGTCCACTCGTTCCAGTCCTCTGCTCTCTCAGCATCGCTAGCCAAGCATTGGATGGGCAATCAGAGTTGCAAAGGGTGGTTAGGCACACAAATTAGACGTCCAGGCTGAGCCATCGACTGTTAAGCTGTGAACAGAAGTCAGTCATGGCCATCAAACCAAAGATCCCCTAACCTCTCATTTTTCTCATTGCTTGCAGCAGCTGAAAACAGAGAATAACTGAAGTCAGAAAATATATTGATGTTGCCACCTTTATTGGCTATCCTTGCTGCTACATGCAACCGTGGTGCATTCTCAGGCCTTTTCTTTCTCGTATTGCAGCCGACTAAGACTTGATACAAAACACTCCCAAAACTTTTGGATGCCTGAAAACGCAGTGCCCAACAAAAACCTGTATACATTTGTGTCTTCCTTTTCAAGCCCGATAGTTTGTCAATTAGTTGGTTCTTTTAATACAGCTGGCAGGCTTCCAATTTCAACACCAGCTTGCCTTCCATAATATCAGAAACTGGTGATGAGACAGATTACCTTGATACACTGTGTCATATTTTATGTACACTTAGGGTTTGCAACTTGCTTTATGGCCATAAAATCCAGAATGTAATCAATAAAGGCTTAACCTAAAGGTAAACCACAAGAAAATGGAAGTTTGCAGACTGGTTAGCACTTTTACTGAGGAGAGCAACAATCAGCTGCAAGGTCCCCTAAATCGGAGTAAACAAGAATATCATTGTAGTTCAGCTTTTCTATTATAAACAGCTCAACGTTCTTTCCTTCAATTGGCTGTGGTAGGAAAGCATCAAATTCAGTCTCTGCAGATGATACAGTGCAAGACTAATAATTCATCCAATTATAATAAAATACTTACAAGAAATCTACAGAACATCCACTGTAACAGCCAACAATTAAAAAGAATGCTTGCATTTTTTACGACCACCAAGTGTCTCAAAGTGTTTTACAGCCAATGAAGAACTCCCGAACTGTAATCATCTTGCAATGTAGGAAACACAGCAACTCATTTGCGCACAGTAAACTCCCACAAACATCAATGTGATAATGATTAAATAATCTTTTTTATTTGTTGATTGAGGGATAAATATTGACAGGGACAATAGGGATTATTCCCCAGCTCTTCCTCAAAATAGAGTCATGGAAACTTTTACATTGACTCAAGTAAAACCAATGGAAATTTGGTTTAACAGATTATACATGAGACAGCATCTCTGGCAGTGCAGCACTCCCTCAATCCTATACTAGAGTGTCTATCTTGATTTTTGTACTGAAGCCCTCAATGGTATGGTAGTGATTATAATGAGATCAGCCAGGTGGGCCTCATAAAATGTGAGCTCCCTGACTGGGGCTATTAACCTAGTCCAATCAGGAAGCCTTAGCTGACAGATATAAACAGGACTGCCAAAGGTACTGCTCATTCTGAGAGCTGACTCTGAGGAAGTTAGACCAGTGTCAAGTACTATGCATGTGTTAATAAAGGCTGACTTGGTGACAGGATACTAGCCTATGTGGAGTTATTTCAGGTACCTTGTGACTCAGAGGTGAGAGTTACCAACTGAACCACAACTTCCACCAATATTAACTTTAAGAGGTGCAAAATGTTCACTCAGGCATTTGTAGGATACCCGTAGTATTTCCTGCCACTATGGATGATAGAAAATATTACGTCATTTTATCAGTTTAAATAGATTATTTAAAGATTTTTATAAATTGTGAGGTAAGGTGTGTGATTTACAGAACAATATATGTCAATATAGTTTATTTTTGAGTTTAGATTTTTATCTATTGGTGTGTGGGTTTTAGATTGAGTTTATGACTGGTTTGATGACTAATTTGTCTGTGTTTCTGGAGCCATTACATTTTTTAAACAATATGAGAGAAAATGTTCCTGGAATGATAATGGGAATTTGTTTGCATTGTAAAGTTTTATGTTTGGACAAAGTAAACTTTGAAAAACATATTTGCTTTAAGTTTAGAAGAATCAGAGATTTTACTTTTGGAGAAATCTCATAACTGGGAAAGCTTTTGGGTCAGTTCAATGAAGACATGGTTGGAGTTAAATGTAAGAAAACAGTTTCTCGTGAAGTAAAGGGGTAGTTCAGAACATTTGGGAAATAGTCTACCTCAGTGTAAGGAAAATATGAAAGTTCCAGACCAGAAGTGTTTGGTTAGAATTCCAGAAGGGTTATTTGAAACTGAGTGTCTAAATTCAGTTGTGTGAATAATCAAGGAAGAGACTGTCAAACTCTCAAGACCGGAAATTGAACGAAACAGTCAAGTCAAACCTTTAAATGTGATAGAAAAGGCAATTCATTCTCTCTGGTGCTGAATACTATGAAGTGATGGTCATGATGTCAAAGAAATCTACAGTATAGAAAATGGCCTTTGGCCCACTAAGCCTCTGCTGGTCAAAAACAACTACCTAGCCATTCTAATTTGATTTTCCAGCACTTGGCCCATTAGTGTTGCATGTCCTGCATTGCGAGTGTACACATAGATACTACTTAAATGATACAAGGGTTCTGCCTGTACCATGCATTTAAGTCAGATTCCCACCATCCTCTGGGTGAAAAACAACCTTTCACATTCCCTCTAAACCTCCAGCTCTTTACCTTTAAATCTATGTCCCACCACCAAGAGGAAAATTTCCCTCATGTCTACCCAGTCCTTACCCCTCATAACTTTATTCATCTCAATCATGCCACCATCCCCTACCCTTTAGACTATTTTTTTTTGCTTGGATGCAAAAACAACCCCAGTCTATCCAACCTCTTTTCATAACTAAAACTCTCTAGCCCATCCAAAATCCTGGTAAATTGCACCCTCTGCAGTACAATCACATTTGTCCTATAATGTAGATTCCAGAACTGCACTCAAGAGTCTAGCTGTAGCCTAATCAATGTTTTATATATTTCCAGAATCACCTCCCTGCTCTTAAACTCTCTGCTTTGGCTAATAAAGACAAGTACCCCATATGCCTTCTTAGTCACTTTATCTACCTGTCCCACTACTTAAAAGACGAATGGACATGCTCATCACAATCACTCTGATCCATGTTGTTTTTCAGGATTCTACCTACCAGTGTTTATCATGTATTCCCTTACCTTGTTTGTCTTGTCCAAGTGCATCACCTCACACTGCTCTGGATTGAATTTCATTTGCCACTTATCAGCCTGTCTATATCCTCCTGTAATCTAATGCTATCCTTCTCAATATTTGCCACTATTCTTAGGATTTGGAATTAAATGGGATTGTACTTTTACTGTATGTTTTGAAAATCTTTCAAATTGTGCTAAAAGTAAATAATTTGGTAATCTATTTTATGTTCATCTCTTTAATGTAATACATTTCTGTTTTATGCTTAAAACCAAATCTATAGGGGAATAAAATGAGACAGATTTTCAAGGAAGTAGTAAAAACATTTCAGTGATAGTAACCACAACACAGTACGTTTTAAATTTGTTATGGAAAAGGAAGAAGATGGTCTACAAAAAGGGTTTTGGATGGGGGAAAGCACATTTTATTAAAATAATCTGTCTAAAATAGACTAAGAACAGATCCTTCTGGATATATCTACAACACAACATTGGGGGTGGCATTCAAATGGAACTGGCAAGAGTACATGCCCAACATGTTTCCTTTAGGGTGAAATGTGGGAGCAACAAGCCCAGAGAATCCTGGATGTCTAGGAATATTTAGGACTGGATAAGAAGGAAAAGAGAAGCTTTAGATACAAAGGGATTGAATCAACAGAGGCCCTAGTGTACTATACAATATGCAGGGGTGGACTTAAAGTAATTAGGGAAGCAAAGAGGGGCATGACAAAAACAATGATGGGTAATGTTAGAGAGAATCACAAGATATTCTGTAAGTATATCAAGGGAAGAAGATAACCAGGGAAAGAGTAGGGCCCATGAGGGACCAAGGGAAAATCTGTGCATGGAGCTCGAGGACATTGGCAAGGTGATAAATGAGTACTTTACATCTGTCTTCACTTTGGAGAAGGAGTATGTAGGGAAGAGGGAGTGTGTGGTCCTTGAGCAGTTTGTCATAGAAAGTGAAGATGTATTGGAGGTTTTGGCATGCTTAAAAATGGATGAATACCTAGGTCCAGATGAGTTGTATCCCAAGTTGCTGTGGGGGACAAGGGAGAAAATTGTAGAAGTTCTAACTAAGTTCTGAATTCCTCCCTGGCCACCAGTGAGGTGCTAGAGGACTGGAGGACAGTAAATGTGGCTCCACTTTTCAAGAAGGGTGGCTTGGATAAACAAGGGAACTACAGACCAGTGTGTCTCACATCAATGGTAGGGAAACTATTGGAGAAAATTCTGAAGGGAAGAAATAATATCCACATTAAGAGGCAAGGTTTAGTCATGGTCATACAGCTGTACAGAATGGAAACAGATCCTACAGTTCAACTTGTCCATGTCAACCAGATATCCTAAATTAATGTAGTCCCATTTGCCAGCATTTGGCCCATATCCCCCTAAATCTTGCCTATTCGTATACCCATCCAGATGTCATTTAAATGTTGTAATTGTACCAGTCTCCACCATTTCCTCTGGTAGATCAGTCCATACATGCACCACCCTCTGCGTGAAAATGTTGTCCCTTGGGTCCCTTTTAAATCTGTCCCCTGTCACT